GTGAAGAAGGCAGATTAGTGTTCCTAGCCAACACCACGGATAAAAGATAGAAAAGATTGTCTATGGATCGACTCCCCACAGTGACAAAACTTCGCATTTTTTCAATTTTTCGTATTTCTGCATCTATGCATTTTGATTTTTTTGTGTTCACATGAAATTGAGGATTTTGTCTGAAAAAACCTGTTAATATGTGAATATTCAGTTCAACAAATGCTCCGAATCATTTAGGATAGAATAGTCGACGTTTGGCCAACCCCTCCTAGGGATGCGCCGTGCATTCAACTTACATTCCTAATTGCAGTGGCACTGTGAATGAGATTCGGCCTACATAATGAAGAGAAGAGCCGTGTGGTAGGCGGTCAATGTACGATTCAGTGTTTTGCCTTCTCAAACAAGCATGGTACCAATTAACCCCAGAGTGTTTGGTCACTGGCCATGCGCGTCACTTGCCATTATACCACTTCTGTACTTCTGAAGGAAAGGTATGAAATCTAGGGAAAAATAACACCCATTCAAAGCCATGTTTCAAACATTGCTGCTCAGCAATGTTCAAAACCTTAATTCTTTGTCCTTACTCTCAAATGCCCTACAACGCGCACAAAGTCGTTTCGAAACGGTTCATGTCAGAGCAGCTTCTTTGAAAGAGTTCCGTGGGGTAAGTTGCTACGAAATCTATTAATGTTGCGGTTGAAAACCTTTGAACTCCAGCTTCAAGCGAATGAAGCAGCTGACATACGAAACTGCTATCCACTACAGCGGAGCCAAGATCCCGACACACTTGAGCTTCCAGCCAACTGCACGCCCCTTACTCATTGAGCGATATCAAAAGTTGCAGATCTGGCCAGGCGGGAGTCAAGACATAGATATTCAGGATTGCCTCTTAGAACAGAGGAACCAGACCTCAGATCAGATAAAAAAAATAACATCAGATAAAAATAAATAATCAGATAAAGTATCTGAACTGCAGACTTTGGCTTGGAAAAGTAACAGCTTGGCATGAAGACTTTGAGAATCGCCGTCAAAGCTTGTAGCAATTTATCTCCCCACTACTAGAGAACAATGTTCCTAGTTACATTTGAATAAGAAACGCAATCGTACCTGATAGAGAACCGTACATGGAAGCAGCTGGGCGCGAGACCGGGAATGGCACACAGCAATCTGTTTGTAACCCAAATAATTTGATAAGACCAGCAGAGCCACCGAGCCGAACCGGAAAAGTGAGCTTTTCCGCGTTTTTATAGATCTCAACACGAGATGACGTTGTAATTTCCCACCGAAAAGTTCGCTACGTAAACACTGCATTTGACGAGCAACTGCAGAACTAGGCTGACCACGAGGTCTCGGATTTGTTAGATGTTACGTATTTCTCCCACCCTGCGCCGGTGCAATTGCGTACCGCAAGCGATTACAGTACTTCACGCCTAGTTCTACTGGCGTTAACATTTGAAATGATGATCACAGGCGGGGCTCGTGATGAAAGGAAATGGGAAGACTAATCAATTCATGACTAGCACAGCTCCGAATGAGATAGTTTTCATCATGAACTGCTTAGTAGTTACGTCTCACGACCGCCCTTGTTCTCGAGTTGTCAGTTGATCTATTAGCACTTGTAGCATTACATCGTCGTAGCAATCTAACACGAGGGTATCTTGTTAGGATGACTAGTGCTGATAGTGAGAGCGCATTCTTGTAGATGATAGGCCATGGGATTTGTTCATTCTTTCTGTAAGAGATGTCTGAAAATGCAATTCAGTATAATCGGAGATGATCCGCTTACAGGAGCGTTTGCGTTACTGTTTGCGAGAATTTCTTGAAGGGCGCTAGTGTACTCAAAAGGAACATCCCCATGCTGACTGAGCCTTGGAGAAGAGGATGAACTTTGAGGGAAATGAAAATCGCTTACACATCCCCATAGTCCCAAGTCTAGTTCTAGGGGGACCAGCAGGGGGGGGGGGGAGGTACATAGCAGTTCTTCACGTACGCTGTGAGCAAAAAGCTCAACTATTGCGCTATCAATGGGAAAAGTGTTCTTCACAATTCCAATTATTTTGCATGAAATGTTATGTTCAGTGTTCGCTTCTACTTTTACTGGATGGGAGATAGGAATTTTTTGATCTGATGTCCGCTACCACAAATGTTCACTGCTGGTATCTCGAATGTATATGCAAAAAACTACTGGACCAGGTATAAGTCATCAAGTCTCATTATTTCCTCTCATCACAAGTTCTACCCGTAGTTATTCAATCGAAAACAGGGTGCCAACGATAGCGGAACTAGCCGTGAGAGTACTGTAATCGCCTGCTGTACGCAATCGCACGGGCGCAGGGTGGGATAAATACGTAACATCGGATTATGTTATCCGCTGCACCTTAGCTGGAGCTCCTTCTCTCGCTTTTGCATGGACCGCTGTCATAACAATTTGTTTTCAATTGACTACTGGTCTACCTGGATGCTGTCGAAGAGCAGCGAAAGTCTGTGTAGTCCCCGATGTTCTTGAATGATCATGTGTTTACCTCAGGTTAGTATCGTAAGGCTGGTGTCAGAGTCCGCGATTTTTTGCGCGATTTTCGCGATTGTCGCGATTTGCGCGATTTTCGCGATTGTCGCGATTTGCGCGATTGTCGCGATTTTCGCGATTTTCGCGATTGTCGCGATTTGCGCGGCGGGTATGGAAATTACGGCTCCCCCACTTTCTTCACGATTTGGGGCGCGGCCGCGGCGAGCGCGGACGAGTCACAGTGCCCGCGAACTGTGGTGGTGATGCGTTTTCAAATTTACCCACACAGTTCGCGGGCACTATCGACTCGGCCGCGCTTTGCCGCGGCCGCGCCCCTAATCGTGAAGTAAGCGGGGCGACGGGAATTACAAGTGCCCCATCCATACTGCAAGGTGTTCTCCAATCCCGCCGTCACTTCTGCTTGATGGTTATGGTTTAATGGAGACTGCTCATGATTCCACTTGTTTCATATCCAGTGTTTCAATTGTTCAAATGGGGCACTTGCAATTTTTGTGATTGGTTTGGTTTGATTCCTGAAAAAAAAACAAAATAGGATTATTCAAGAGCATTTCAATGAACTAATAGACATTGAACATGAAACAAGTAGAACCACAAACATTCGTCTTCCAATCTTTACTGCCAAGCAGAATTCGCAGCAGGATTAAACAACACCTCGCAGTATTCATCGGGCACTTCCAACTCCTGTGATCCATCGCAGGTTTCGCGAAAATCGCAAATCGCGAAATCGCGAAAATCGCGAAAATCGCGCAAATCGCGACAAATCGCGAAAATCGCGCAAATCGAATCGCGGACTCTGACACCAGCCTTAGGCTCGTGCCGATTCGTACCTTCGGAGCTAGATGTCAAAGGCGACAATGTAAACGAGGAAATGATTAGGGGATGATATCTCAATCAAATGAGTTGTTTCAGTGAAAGAGAACCATCTTAGAATTCGTCTACAAACAACTATACGACTAGTAGTGATACAATGAGTGCATGGAATATTCTGAGATGGCATTGCATAAAACTTAAGCGGGTCTATTCCAGTTAGGGGGGCATCATGGTGCGGTGACTCCCAAAAAGCTACGGTAACTCTGAGCCAGGGGGAGTGTAGCCAGCCTAGGGGGTGGGGGGGTGAGGGCAGTCACTTGACATGCGTGAGAAGCTGGAATGTTCGAGTTTACATTAGCTCGCCGAGAAACTGCATCATGATGCCCCCCTAACTGGAATAGACCCAGGTTAGGACTCACTAGTTCTGAGGAAACATTGTTTCTTTGGACTTTATCTTTTTATATCTCTGCAAAGTGCGTTTCGGAGCAGATGCAATGGTACGATCTGTATCTTAGTATTTTGCTTACTTTTGGCGATATGCGTATTCGTAGACACTAAATACCTTAGATCCCGGGCTTCTGTCAAGTACTGCACTGCATTTGAAAACCCGCCAGGTTTTTTGCAGCAGCTCTGGCGATTTGGCCCCCGTAGTTTCGAATGTCTGTCGTCTCCTTCTGATAAGCAACTCTTCTTGCGATACGATGGTTGTCGCGCTTATGAAGCCAAACATAACGTTCCTGATCAATAAGCTACTTCGAGTCCCGTCTGTCGGCTACGTAACGTGAGATTTCTCTGTTTTTTATGAGGTGATTTATATTGCATATTTTCAATTATTGAGCAGATGATATCTATTAGGAATTGAAAGTGTGTTGAAGCTTCCGGGCTTCCTTTTTTAATTAGGAAAGGAAGGCTTTATCACTCTCCACGTATTATCTTTACATCAAAGCCGCATCAAGGTTTTTTTTTACCATAGTACAGGTGTGGGAAGGGGGGGGGGATTTTGGCTGTCAGATCTTTCCAGGCATTGTTTGACGTCCCGAGGGATCCAGTCGGTAACCGCTCTGGTCCAACGGTCATCACAAAATCGCATGACTTGTCCGGCCCACCTTATCTTTGCTTCCTTGGCGAAAACGGCAGCGTGCTGAACCGCACGCTGCCGTTGACCCTGTAAACTCGGGATTCCTCCCGCATTTCCGTGTATCGGGAAATTCCAAATATCTTCCATTTCTCGGTGCAGTGGCCTTACGTCATGCTTGTTTTGCGCGCGCAGAGTCCAGCTTCGCTGAGGCCTGCTTTCAGGCAGGGGAGATTGGAGGCGCAGAGCCGGAGGTTCTTCGTCTTTGATTGGTATTTATTACATGAGCAAGTGCACCATGCGAAACATAAGGCAGAAAACATTGAAAAAAGCGCCAAAGGACAAGAATTCATCAAGATATCAAGAATTAGTAAGGAAAAACCCACTCGAAATGCACACTGTGAAAAGACAATTGAAAGAGAAAAATGAAAAAAAATACAACTAAACGGAGATAGGAACAAAGAATCCGCCTACGATGCAAATGGAGTCACTTTTGCGAGATTGAGCCTTCGTTCTAGGCATGCCCCCCGTTTCAGGCGCTTAATTATTTTATTGAATGCGGAACCTGCATAATAGCAAAAGAAATGAATTCTCAGGCTCGAGTCAGGCCTAGCAATGAAAATCTATTTTCAAATGAGTATACCAGGTTAGTCTTTCTTTCACTTAAAGTCTTTTCTTTCTCGCTCCCTTTAAAGTTTTGAGCCTGAGAAAGCAATCGCCATGTTGACTCAGGATCAAGGTAACGCAAGATCTAGCAGCTTTTTCCTCAAGAAGGTGAGCGCCACCATTTGGGGCTATGATGCCCGGGTCGGGTGTTTTGAACCATGATTACGCCACTCTCACGAATCGATAGCTGCCAGTCAGTTTGCTTATTTTTCTTCGGATATTTTATTGCGCAATATTGTTTGGTCGAGCCTGTCAACGACAAATTATTTATGCTACTTCGTCAGTATCCGTGAGAGCTTGCTCTTATCGTGGTACAGCCCGTCATCGCCCAAAATAACATGTGACGCGTTAGTGGACGGGAAATAGAAGTGCGAAAGAATCCAAGGATCAGAGCTGTGAATTTCCTGGATTGTAGACCTATTCGAAACGTTCAGAGGCACGCAATCATCAGGGCAAGTATGATGTTGGGAGATTCGTCCTCAAAACCGGAGATAGAGAATCGTATTGGATATTTCGCTTGTTTTGGTTCACCATCCTTCATTCCTATTCCGGATCTATTATATTTCTCTTTTTTTTTCCGAAATCTCGATACTGACTCATTGGAATGGGCTGGAAATATCAAATGTAGTGTATTCATACAGTGTCGAGTTTGAGTCACATTCTGATTTAAAGATTGTCCAATTAAGGGTTTCTTGTTTTTGTTTGTCAACTGCTGTTTTGGCCGCAGTTCGCCTTGCGAATGGCTCACAAAGTATCGTTGTGAACACAAAACTTTCACATCAACCGAGACGAACCGCACCTCTGCTTACCGGCGAGCCTACCAGTTCCATACTGGGCACCATTTGTATTCCAACTCAGCTTTCATGTATACTTTTCATACAGTTTGTACAGCACCCACAAGTTATAACCTGTTGAGGCTGATATTGCAATGATCACTTGCCCTGAAAGCAAGAGGTGCGGATTCGAGTCCCGTCTGGAGCGAAACATTTGTCCACAACCCAGCATCCTTATGAAACATTCGCAAAGCGAACTGCGGCCAAAACCAGCAGATAACAAACAAAAACAAGTCAAAATCGTTGCCTGAATTTGCTTTCAGCCTCTTCTACCTTCTCCGTGGCGTGATTATCCTTTCGATATGTCTTTAAGAACAATACATAACAAATAGTGATAGAATTTTGAGGGAAGCTTGGCATGTGAACATCAAGCATATCGAATGTTCGATGTGCTGGCTGTCTCATAGGCGATAAGGTGTCGGCGTGTTCCTTTCAATATCTATTGAATGGCATGCTCATTTTGTTATGAAACGCTTCGATTCCCAAATTTTTTCGAACTTTAAAAGAAAGGAATTTTCGGTCAATTCCATGATTGATTGCTGAGAGGCGTAACAGAAGGAGTCATGGCAGTACAGTTGGGGTCCAGGTCAAGGATTGATTGATGTACTGGCGCCATTTCGTCTTCGTGCAAAGTGCGGTTGCAGTTTTTACGCAAAAATCTAGTTTCTGAAGTTCACCGCGAGGTCCTTGTGCATTTTTTATGAATTGCAAGATTGATTTCAACATAATGTGTGGCCATTACTGTAATAATGGTGTAGTTCATGCATCTTCAGGCTCCTTTTTTTCTGCTTTTCAACCTAATTTAGTCTTTTTTAAGCGAAAAGAATGCATCAGGACTTGGGAGACGCTCACTTGTTGCGAGAATGAGTGGTCGTGCTCCTCTGCTCGGCGCTGAGTCGCCAGTGCTTAGCAAAGATCGACGTCGGTTCATTATCATCTCTATTTTTGATGCGACTCTTACAACGTTGCTTTGGCTGCTTTGCACGGTATGTGAACCTGTTCATTGTGATTTTACTATTTTTACCTTCGTTATTCAATTTTCAATATCAAATGTTGTGTCCTACAGAAGTAGTTCCTCATTCTGATTGTTGTTTGGAGTAAAATTGAATCTCTTTTTCTCCATAGCGCCGTTGAGTTTAGCAATGCTGCATGACAAAGAAGGCTATTTCGGCGGATCTATAAAAAAGGCTCGTTGAGGACTAAGCAAGAGCTTCGTTTCAATTCAGTGCTTTAACATATAGGGAACGAATGTTTCTAAACTGTTTGAGGAATGTGTGGGTGCTTATTTCACGAAGGCCCTTTGAGTTAAATGTTAGGTTTCCGATGTACTTAGGGAGGAGATCTTGCTGAGTTTGTTACTGCAGAATTTATCGATTGTTGATGTTCCGTTCCCATCATTCCAGATGCTTCTGTTGTTGCAACCATCAATCCCATTTGGAGGTTATGCCTCTCAGAGTGGGCAAGCGCTCAAACACAACTTTCCGACCACCCTACATTTTATAGGGACAATTGGGCTGATAGTTGCATCATGCCGGTCTATGCTTTTAGATTTTCTCTAGCCCTCTAGATGTATGCATATCTTTGTGGGATGGGTCCTCAGAAGGTTTATGTTCCGTCTGCTTTTTTCCGATGCTTCAGTGGAATTCTTCCACTCCTCCCCCTCTATCCGCTCATGGGTTCTCCTGCTTGAATCTTTCGTCTAGGTCCGAGTGCTTCCAAAACGTGATCTTTTCATTCTTCTT